GTGCCTGTAATCCCAGCTACTCAGGAGGCTGAGGCAGGAGAATTGCCTGAACCCAGGAGGCGGAGGTTGCGGTGAGCCGAGATCGTGCCATCTACACTTAGTGTCTCCAGCTCTTTCTAACTCATTTAGCTCATTTCATCATCTTTTTTCCTACCATGAACTTATAAAAACAGAAATGTTAAAAGATTGCAAAACATTTGAAAACATATTGTCAACATGAAATAATTATAATCATCCTTTAATAAATTCTACGTTTTGAATACTTTTATCACTTTGTGATCTTCATACGTTAATACATTAAGGCACAATCAGAGGGGAAAATCTAAACATTCATTCTACCAGGTAATGATGAAAAGAGGATGTGTATGATTTAGTTTTTTTGAAATATTATGGACAGCAATAAACAGTGGAAATGGTAAGCATCTGGGATAACAGTGGGCCTGGCCAGGAATGTCTGGTGATGTCTTAAGCTCTTTAAAGCCTTTACGTGTGCCATTTCTTCTGCCTGGGATATTCTTCCTCTCTTTCTCACTCTTGATCTGGCTAATTTCTATTTATCACTTAGCATTCTTCTTAAATGTCACCACCTCAGATAAATCCCTGATCCCAATCTAAATCAGCTTCCACTTCCTGCTAATCTCTCTGATAGAACCCAGTTTTTTTCCTTCTTGGTACTTTTCACTAGATAAAAGTATATATTGTATGTTCATTGCTAAATGTCCATCTCACTCTTGAGGGAAGAAACCAAGATTGTTTGGTTCTTCTACTATAGTTGCAATTCTGCTATAGTTGCAATATTGATAGTGCCTATCAATATTAATAGTTATCAAATAAGTGAATCCTTAAAGTTCTTAGAAGGAAGAACCATTACATTTATGAATTATAACTCCATTTATACTACTGGCTGTCAAAGGTGAATTTGCTTGTCCTAAGTTTAAAAGTATACCTCAGTTGGAACTATTAGGTATTGTTCCCTGGATAAATTAAAATAAATGTATTTATATATCTACTGTAGATTTGAATTTTATGTCGTATTTTGTTGTAGGAAGCCAGAAGCCCCACCAAGACCTTGTCGTAAATAATCTTTTCTATAAAAAGTTACAAATGGCTAACTTTATAATTAGGTATAGTAGGGGATGCCTGCTGCTTGGGCTACGCAGCTTCCTTTCCTCCTTATTTAGGTTATAGAACCAAGAACCACTCAGTATGGCCTATCAAGTTGTACGTTGCACAACTCCAGGAGGCCCCAAACAGATGGACTATAAAATGGATTAGAGTCTGGAGCTGGGCAACACCTCCCTGACAGAACTCTTTGTTTTGGTAAATGCCCATCTACCCAGGCAGTCCAACCTGTGGGTCTGCTCTCTTTCCACAGTAGTAGATGTGATCCAGACCAGCCAATTGGAGTACTATCTCTAGAAATTATCATTGATTACTGCAGGCCTTGGCACATGATCTAAGGAAGTCAACCAGCACTTTGAGGGGGATTATATAGATGGTGGAGAAGACAGAACATTGCCCGATATTTCCAAAACTGAGAAGCATGAAAGTCTAGCTGGTAGGGGTTATTTTGCCACAATACAATAAGAGCTTGCCTGCAAATGAAGTCTGCAGAGAAAAAGCAGACCTGAAAGAAGAATAAAAGGAGACAGATTCTTATTCATGGGATTGTTGGTTATGTGAGCTAATAAATTATTTCCCTTGCTTAGGGGAGTTTGAGTTGGATCTTTGTCACTTGCAACCCAAGAGTCCTGGCTAACACAGATGCATAAGCAAAACCGTAAACCAGGAACTTGAAATTTGTTTTCTGCTTAACCAAAAACTTAATTCTCTACTTGTGACAATGGGGGTGTCACTTCTTTACTCACAACCCTCTAGTACCTTCTCAGCTTACCCAGAGAAAAAGCCAGCTGTCTACACATGGCCACAGGTCCCAACATGGTCTAGCCTGTCTTCTCCCTTTTCCCCCACGTTGTTCATTATGCATCAGGTATGCGGACTTGGTGTTCCTTACACATATCAAGCATTCTTCCACCAGAGGGCCTTCACATGTGCTGTTCCCTCTACCTCATATCTGCGACTCACAGTGAACTGCTTGATGTAATTCAATTATCTGTTCACATGTCAACTTTTCTCACTTTCCCCATCTAAAATTTTCTTTCCTTCTCTGTTTTAGTTGTCTAGGGCTACCATAATAAAGCACTACAAACTGGGTGTCTTGAACAACAGGAATTCATTGTCTCACAGTTCTGGTGGCGAGAAGTCTGAGATCAGGGTGTCAGCTGAGTTTTGTTTAGCAGGCTATGAGGGAGAATCTGTGCTGTGCCTGTCTCCTAGCTTCTGGTGGTTTGCTGACAGTCTTTGGTGTTTCTTGGCTTGTAGAAGCATTGCCCTGATCTCTGCCTTTTTCTTTATGTGGCATTTTCCCTCTGTGCATATCTGTGTCCAGATTTCCCCATTGTATAAGGACACTAGTCGTCTGAGATTAGGGCCCACCCTAGTGATCTCATTTTGACCTGATCATCTGTGAAGAACCTCTTTCCAAATAATATCACGTTCTCAGTACCAGGGATTAGGATTTGATGGGGGAACACAATTCACTCAACCCCCACTTATGTTGCCCTATTTTTTTCTTTGCAATATATATCACACCATCTGACATATTATATACTTATGTTTTTACTGGCTTACTGTCACACACTCCCTCTGACTAGGATATAAGTTTCATGAACATATGGATGTCATGTTATACCCACAGCACTTAAAACAGTACCTACTATATGGAGGTGTGCAATCAATATCTGTTAAGAAGTGAGTGAATACTAAACAGAGAAATAGGCTCTCTGATTTTAAGATACTAAAATCTGAAACTTCTTTTTGCATAATCGACTATTTAAAGAAAGCAAGACTTCTCAGATGTCATTTATGTATATATTTAGAGTTTAAAGGCTCAGTGGAGACCAATGCAAAATCTGTCAGTCTGGGTGCAGTAGCTCACACCTGCAATCCCAGAACTTTGGGAGGCTATGGTAGGAGGATCCCTTGAGGCTAGGAATTTAAGACTAGCCTGGATAGCATAGCAAAACCCCCATCTCTACAAAAAGTAATTTTAAAATATCAGTCAGGTGTGGTGGTATGCACCTCTGCTTCCTAGCTACTCGGGAGGCTGAGGTGGGGGAATCATTTGAGCCCAGGAGTTTGAGGCTGCAGTGAGCTATGGTCATGTCACTGCACTGTAGTTAGGGTGGGAGAGCAAGACTCTGTGTTTAAAAAAAAAAAAAAAAAAAGGAGAAGAAAAAGAAACAGTATCTCTATCACAAACTTACAAGTACCATTCCCTTGAAAACAGAAAAGTAGAAAGAAACATTCTGAGGAAGAAAGGAATTTGGGAGTGGTAGGTTGATAGGGGACATGTGAGAAGGGATAGAAGTTGAATGAGGCTTAAGTGAGGTCAAACTCTGGCAAAACTAAAAGTACTGATCTTTTTCCTGACTTGATAATGAAAGTATGCCAGTAGCCTTCTATGGAGTTACATTGTTTTTATTCCTCATTAAAAAGAGTTTGTTGTTGTTGTTGTTTTGAGACAGTCTTACTCTGTCGCTCAGGCTGGAATGCAATGGTGCAATCATAACTCATTGCAGCCTCTACCTCTCATGCCCAAGCAATCCTCCCACCTCCCAAGTAGCTGGGTCCCCAGGTATGTGCCACCATACCTGGCTAATTTTTATTTATTTATTTATTGAGACAGAGTTTTGCTATGTTGCCCAGGCTGGTCTCAAACTTCTGCCTTCAAGCGATCCACCTCCCTAAGCCTCCCAAATTGCTGGGATTTCAGGCATGAGCCACTGTGACCAGCCTAAAAGTACTTTTAATGAGAAAACAAATTTAGCCTTCAGATATTAGGAGGGCCCCTCTGACGTTTATTGAGATGTATTATCTGTGTGTAACTTTATCAAGTTATCCGTCTTTCATCTGATGCTCTCACTGGAATATGAGCTGAGGGACAGGGGACCATGTCTTTGCTAGCCTATAGATAGTCAGAAGACAAATGGTAAATTAAATGGCATAAACAGGCTGAAAAGGGTTAAGAGCCCTTACATACATAAGGCTTTTACAAAGCAGTAAGAAGGCAAATGATCCAGTGGATCAAAGGAAGTACAGACTCCATATAAACATATAAAACAGTGCTCAATCTTGCCAATAGCCAGGGATATGCAAATTAAAATAAAAACAGAATTGATTTTTTACCCATCTGCAGCTGAAAACATTGATGACTTTCAGGCCCATGGTGTGCAGTTAATTAGACACTCATAATTTTGAGGATAAGTTAGTATGTGGAACTGTAAGTTCAAATTCAAAATACACTTACCCTTTGACCTGAAAATTCCACATTTCAGAACCTATCCTATGGAAAAGGCAGTCTTCATAATGATGCATATCTGTAAGGCTCCAGAATTTCAGTACAGGAAAGAGATAGGCATGTCTAGGGCATTTCCATTTGGTTTTAAACAAATACTCAGAAGTACCTGTATTATACTTCTGAGTTTATAGAGTAAAATGCCTTCTCCATACAGAATTATTAATTAAACATCAAAATCAACATTTATCAACTGTCAACTAGAGGCAACGGGTGGTGTCTGAATCCTTAAAATTCTGTTTTAGGAGTCAAGGCATGAATATTTAAGAAAGTAACTCTTTAGCTTCTATACTGCTCCCACCGTAAACCCAAATCTGATCTATGTAAAACTTTAAGCCCCGAAAGTGAGCTTAGAGGGTGAGAGGTCAGAAGAGTGTACACCAGGAGAGCACACCCTGCATCTAGGGAAGTAACGTTTTTGTCTTCAGCTCCCAAATGTCACCCTTTTCTCACCATCCCCAGTTATTTCCCTCTGTAAGAAGAAGGGGAAAGTGCCACTTAAAGCAACAGTTTCCCACAACCATTTTCTCAGATTAAGGGAGTGACATGTTCATATCCAGGGAAAATACTCTTTAAAGATGACACCATCTACTAGGAAAGAAGAGTTTATTTTGATTGTGCTGAATTGCTCTGCATAGCAAAGTGAAAGGAACCTAGACTTGTCTCTTTGGGAAAGGGAGAAGGTGAGGGGCAGGGAATAGGTAAGATTTCTTGATGAGTTTTGAGAGTGAAAGGTGGTGTCTCCTCCAGAAATGTAGTAAAAATATGACTAGCACGTGTCACTGAAGGTCGTGCTGCTTCTCTGATGCTCCCACAACACATGGAGCCCAGCTGGAAGAAGCATGGCTGGTGACAGCCTCCAGTTTACAGCTCCCTAAGGACCACAACATCAGCTTTGCAGCCAAGATCCCGCTTTTTCCGGGGCAGCCCTCAGCAGTGATGGAGGCAGGTGGTTGACAAGGGCATAGACATTTTCACTGTACAGAAGACTTCTTTAGTGTACTATTTGTGCTCAGGGCTCTCCTGGCTTTGCTAGAGTCTTTGTCAAGTCTGCTTGGGTCCACTGGCTCCTCCTGCTCAAGCCTGCTTCCTTCCCCTTTGTCTTGACAGCCTTTACTCCCCTACAAAACCTTTCTCACCCCTACACTGTCTCAGCATCTGCTTCCCAGAGAGCCCAACCAGCACCATTAGAGACCTCTCATTTGAAACTGCTGAAGTTTAACATTAGTGGGATTTTTTTAAAGACTCTGAAAGGAGCTATTTCTCATTTTAATTTCAAGTTTGAGAATTAAAACTGAATAGCTGCCAGTTGTTCTCTGCTGCATAGTCACTATTTAACTTGAGTTGATGACTGACTTTGTCTTAGTGAACAATCACAAATTCTCTCAGGAACATAATCCTTTTTCTTTTTGCTCTTAAAGAGAAAGAAAACAAAACAAAACAAATATTGCCACAGCACTTTCTAACATTTATGAACAGTAGATTCCAATTTTAAAATTAGAAAAGATCTTGGCCAGGCGCGGTGGCTCAAGCCTGTAATCCCAGCACTTTGGGAGGCCGAGGCGGGTGGATCACGAGGTCAAGAGATCGAGACCATCCTGGTCAACATGGTGAAACCCCGTCTCTACTAAAAATACAAAAAATTAGCTGGGCATGGTGGCGTGTGCCTGTAATCCCAGCTACTCAGGAGGCTGAGGCAGGAGAATTGCCTGAACCCAGGAGGCGGAGGTTGCGGGGAGCCGAGATCGCGCCATTGCACTCCAGCCTGGGTAACAAGAGCGAAACTCCGTCTCAAAAAAAAAAAAAAAGATCTTGACATTTATTCTGATTAAAGCCCCTCAATTTGCATAACAGTACATGTCCATAGAGCCCTTGAAAATCGTGATTTAGGCCAGGTCTGGTGACTCATGCCTGTAATCCCAGCACTTTGGGAGGCTGAAGGGGGCCGATCACCTGAGGTCAGGAGATCAAGACCAGACTGGCCAACATGGTGAAACTCTGTTTCTCCTAAAAATACAAAAATTAGCTGGTTGTG